AAAAAAAAAAGAAAAAAAAAAACAATAGCTACAAATAAAATAAAATATCTGGAAATAAACTTATTCGAAGAAGTGAATGATCTCCACAATGAATATGCAAAACACTGATGAAAATGTTGTTCCAGCTCGGCGCCTGTAGCTCAAGCAGCTAAGGCTCCAGCCACATATACCAGAGCTGATGGGTTTGAATCCAGCCTCGGCCAGCCAAACAAAAATGACTACAATCAAAAAATAGCCAGGCATTGTGGCAGACACCCATAGCTACTTGGGAGGCTGAGGCAAGAGAATTGGTTGGCCCAAGAGTTAGAGGTTGCTGTGAGCTGTGATGCCATAGCACTCTATCCAAGGTGACAGCTTGAGGCTCTGTCTCAAAAAAAGAAAAGAAAATGCTGTTCCAAGTGCAGTGATGTTATAGCTAATGGATCACAACCAGTCACAGATTCCTTTGTTCCTTCCCCACTCCCACTTGTTAACTTGACTAGCAGATGGGAAAGAAAGAAAGAAAAGAAAACCTTGATGAAAGAAATTGAAGAGGATGCAAAACTTGGAAAGATCTTCCATGCTCCTGGATTAGAAGAATCAGTATTATTAACATGTCCATACTACCTAAAGCAGATTCAATGCAATCCCCATCAAAATACCAATGACAGAAATTAAAAAAATAATCCTCAAATTTTTATGGAGCCACAAAAGACCCAGAATAGCCAAAGCCATCCTGAGTCGGGGGTGGGGGGGGGAAGCTGGAGGAATTACATTACCTGACTTTAAATTATATGCTACAAAGCTGTAATAAGGAAAACAGTATGGTACTGGCATAAAAATAGACACATAGACCAATAGACCAGAATAGAGAACCCAGAAATACATCTATACATACATCTATAGTGAACTTATCTTCAACAAGGTACCATAAACATAGAGTGAGAAAAGGACAGTCTCTTCAATACATGGTGCAGGGGAAACTGGATCTTCATATGCAGAAGAAGGAAACTAAATCCCCTATCCAAAATATACAAAAATCTCACCATATACAAAAATAAAATAAGAATGGATCAAAGACTCAAGGCTAAGACCTGAAAGTGTGAAACTACTAAATGAAAACATTTGGGAAAATATATCAAGAGATTGATCTGGGCAATGATTACTTGAGCAATACCCCAAAGCACAGGCCACTAAATCAAATTAACACACAGAATCACATCAAGCTACAGAGCTTCTGTACAGCAAAGGAAACAATCAACAAAGGGATGAGACAGCCCAAGGGAGAAAATACTTGCAAACTGCTCATCTGACAAAAGACTAATACTAGAATATATAAGGTGCTCCAACAACCCAAGAGAAAAAAGTCAAATAATCCAATTAATTAAAAATGGGCAAAGGATCAAGGCATACAAATGGCCAACAAGTATATGAAAAAATGCTGAATGTCATTATTCATCAAAGAAATGCAAATCAAAACTACAATGAGATATCTTCTCACCCCAGTTAAAATGGCTTTTATCAAAAAGACAGGCAATATTAAATACTGGTGAGGAAGCAGAGAAAAGGCCTCGTACACTGTTAATGGGAATGAAAATTAGTGCAACCACTATGGAGAACTGCATAGAAATTCCTCAAAATAACAACAAATAAAACTGCCGTATGACCCAGCAATCCCACTGCTGGGTGTGCATATATCTGAAGGAGAGGAATTCAGTATATTGAAAAGATATCTGTACTCCCATGTTTATTACAGTACTATTCACAATAGCCAAGACATGGAATCAACCTAAGTATTCATCAATGGATGAATGGATAAAGAAGTTGTGGTATATAGAGTAGAAGCTCTATAAGTTGACCATCCAAGGAACCACAGAGGTTGTCGACATAAGGAACTAGGCCTACTGTACTGATACGTACACGTGGTGCATGTCTAGCCTATGAAAATTAGGTCAATTTAAGGAGGTGGTCAACTCTGAAGGTTCTATTGCATATATAAAAGGATATTCTATAACCACAAAAAAGAAGGAAATCCTGCCATTTGCAATAACATGCATGGAACTGAAGAACATTAAGTAAAATAAGCTAAACACAGAAAGACAAATCCCCCATGTTCTCACTGATGTGTGGGAGCTAAATATTAAAAACAAGTGATCTCATGGAGACAAAGAGTAGAGTGATAGCTCCCAAAGGTTAGGAAGGGTTTCAGGGAGGGGGAATAAAATGAAGAGGGTTAACAGGCGCAAAAATATACTTAGATAGAATGAACAATATTTGAAAGCACAACAAAGTGACTATAATCAACAAGTTGGGGTATACTTTAAAATAACTAGAAGTGACAATGTGGAAGTATATGGCACACCTCCTGGGTGAAAGGCCTAACAGCAACTTGGACTTTACCTAAAAAATGCAAACATGTAATGTAATTGCATGTACCCTTATATTAATCTGAAATTCTAAAATATTTTAGAAATCTAATAAAATTTTATTTTTTAAACAGTCGGATAAAACATAATAAAATAAAATAAGAATGGAAATGGAAAGACTAACACCAAGAAATGATAAATGTCTAAGGTGATGGATACCCCAACTACCCTGATTTAATTGATTCACTTTGTATTCCTGTATCGAAACATCACACATACCCTGTAAAGATATACAACTGTATGTACCATAATCATGGAAGAAAGAAGCTGGAGGCCAAGTGTGGAGCTGACTCACTGCCTTGTGCTCCTTGACCCCTCTGCTTCCTCTTGCTTGTTGGTAGAGCTATTGTCTCTGCTTTGTCTAAGGTTTCTTTCTGCTGGGTAGGCCTTTCTTTCTCTCACTCCACCACCTTTCCCTCCCGACTTAAATATCTCTTCATGTGTTTATTGGCCATTTGTATTTTTGAACTGTCTTCATGATCTTCGGCTACTGCTTTCAATTTATTAAGATTTGAAACAAATTGCTTTGTGGCTCAGAAACATGATGACTGGGTTTTCAAGTTCATGTGTGAGATACACCTCCCTCCAACCTGGTTACAACATCTGTACATTACTATCTGGCATGAGAAAAAGATAAAATAAATATTTAAAACACAAAAAGGGTATAAATAATGATACACCAAAACCTAGGTGAAGCAAGAAAACTTCAGCAATGAAGCTCAAAACACCCCATCTGCTCTTCCTCAATCCCTTGACATCCCGTGAACTTAGGGTAGCCATGACCCTAAGTTCTGAGATCAGAAGGCTCATGCCTCTGACTTTCTAGTTTTACTATATAGGTATGTTTTTCTGCTATTTCCTTTTGCTAGTGGCTGTACCTATAGCAATTTGCATCATTACAAAACAGATGCTTGAGAGCCATGCTTACAGTGAAGTTGTGTGAATCCTGTAGCTCATCGGTCATTTGCAGATGTAAACAGTTCATTTTTTGGTCTAGGGAAAAACACATTGGTGACTGGCAAAAAGATGGTTTTCAGACGATCACACAGTAGACAAGGGTCACAATGTCTACATAATACATGAGGAAAAGCTTGTGCTATGGAAACCGTTATGAGTGCCTTTTCAACACCAGAAGAAGGACCGTGATAGGACCTAGAACCCTGGCTACACAAACCTTTCAATTTCTGGCTCATTCATTCATCCTGTTCATCCAACCAATGAATGTTTATAGAGAACTCACAAATAGTCCCAAGCACTGAGCTAAGATGCCGGGGAACAAAAATGACAGAGACAGGGTCACTGCCCACTTGTAGCTGAATTGAGAAAATAGACAAGTAAACAATAATTATAACAACAAGTATGATAGCTCTTGGTTGTGGAGCATTTACTATGTGCCAGTGTATATGGCACTTATGATATCTCATCTAATTATATATATATATATGTATGGCACTTATGATATCTCATCTAATTCTCATGTAAGACACAGAAATAGGAATAAAACCTGTGGGAAATGGAAGAAAAGAAAACATAAGAAACACACCAAAGGTCAAACGGTAGAGCCAGGATTTGAACTTAGGCAGTCTGACTGCAGAGCCTGGGCTCTTTACCTATGTCAACCATTGCAGAGGAAATGAATTATGATGATCAAGCGAGATCAGAGCTATGGCAAAAGGACAAGAAGTATCACGGAATACTGACATCCAAAATCCTGGGAGCTGGTAGTCCAGCTGAGTGAGATTCTGCAGAGTGCAGGAGAGCTCTTCTCTCAGAGCAGACACCTGACTTTGTGTGTGCCCTGCGGGACACTTCTGCTCTCAGTATACTCCTGTTAGTTTAGTGTTAGAGTATTATAAATAAGCTTGTCCAGAGGTCTGGGGAAAAGACATCGCCAACTTCCTAACTTTGGACAATGGTTTGCCCATTTGTAAAATGAGGTGGTTCCTGCCAGGTGTCAAGGGGCTGAAGAGCTGCAGAGGAATTTCTCCTTTTAAAAACTACATAAAGAGGCCAGGTGCAGTGGCTCACATCTGTAATCCTAGTGCTCTGGAAAGCCAGGAAGAGATGGGTGGATCCCTTGAGTTCGGGAATTTGAGACCAGCCTGAGCAAGAACGAGACCTCCTCTCTAATAATAGCTGGGTGTTGTGGCAGGCACCTGTAGTCCAAGCTACTCCAGAGGCCAAGGCAAGAGGATCCCTTAAGCATTTGAGGTTGCTGTGAGCTATGACACCATAGCACTCCACCCAAGGCACAAAGACACTCTGTCTCAATCAAACAAACAAACCCACAATATAAAGATGGCAGCCTGAGTTCTGTAGCATAGCCAGACTTCATCTTTATTTACATTTGTCTTGTTCTAATAAATAGCTGGTTAGAAATCACAAGAAGCAAAAGATGGCAAATTAACAAAAGAGCAAGTCATGGAAAGTTTGAATGTGAAGACTCATGAACAATGAGGAAATAACATCTGTCATCCATACTGGAGGGCGGTGGCTATGAAATCCTCCCAAGAAGCATGCAAATAGTCCCTACAAAATCTGCGGGAGTTTTCTTAGATTTTCGAGATCTTTTTTGGAGAGACCAGTTACCAGGAAGTAAGGATTTAACATTCAGTTGCTAAAATGAGTTTAGATGGAGCAAAAGACCCATTTGTCTCCTTGCAAATGGGCTTGGATTACTGCAATTTACAGGAACAGCTCTCTATGTCAAATTAGTCAGGAAAATTACCCTCGCCTCACCCTCTGAAAAGGAAAATTCCACTTCTGCTCCATTTCTGGCCTACACATGTCAGCTATGATTACAGCATACACCCATCCCAGCAAATGAACATGAAGGCTCGCTGATACTTTGCAAATGGTTAGACTTGCTTCTTTCCCTTTGGTAACACTTGATACCAAACAGTGGACTCTCTTCTAAGCAAGAACTATATCCTGTGAAATATCCTCTGTATCAAAAATTCAAGAAACTTAAAATGTAGTTGTGACTTTTCCGGAAGGAAGCTTTGCAATATGTATCAAAATCCTTAAAAATATTCTCTTACTGTTATGCAGAACTCTTTGGGTGGCAAGAAATAGAATTAATGTTAAGTTAATTTAGGCAAAAGTGGAGAATTTCCTACAGAGGCTCAAGGCTGTCCCTGTCCTTCCTAGCCTCAAGGACAGAAAGTGGATGTCTGTAGAGAAGCCAGAAGGTTCTGTCTCTAAGTCATGTTTCAAAAGAACAGGATTCTCTCTGTCTTTCAGTCCTGCTGCCCAGAGGTTATCAGGTCTTTCTGTCAGGTTCCTAACTAAAGTACTTTGATCTCCCTGGCCTGTTGCCAAGGAGACAGGATCAAACCAGCCCAGAAATCCACTGGGGGAGAGGGAGGTATAATTCCATGAAAAGTGGGTTTTCCTGGGCAGCGCCTGTTGGTCAGTGGGTAGGGTGCTGGCCCCATATACCGAGGGTAATGGATTCGAACCTGGCCCCAGCCAAACTGCAACAAAAAATAGCTGGGTGTTGTGGCGGGCACCTGTAGTACTAGCTACTTGGGAGGCTGAGGCAAGAGAATCTCCTAAGTCCAGGAGTTGGAGGTTGCTGTGAGCTGTGACACCATAGCACTCAACCAAGGGCGATAAAGTGAGACTGTGTCTCTAAAAAAGGAAAGGAAAGTGGGTTTTCCTAAGGATCTTCCTCCTGGTGTCTATGAAAGACCCCCCCCCAAATAAATTATCTATTATTTGGGAATACTATGTGACTATTAAAATTATGTTTCAGAATATTTAACAAAGTTAGAAAAACATTCATAATATCATTGAGTGAAAGAGGCAAATTACAGAGTAATTTTTTAAATTATATAATTATAATGCAGATGTCTTCGAAGCCTGCAACCATTCCTACTCTCTCGCTCCACATCCCAGGGGCTCCTGCTGTCTCCCTGGTCCATGTGGTCTCATGTTGCAAGGAAATCCCACAGTTCCTTCCCTTTTGAGGCAGAGGAGTTAAGTATCTGCAGGGCACACTATTTTCCAGACCTTGCTACTCAAAGTGTGCACAGGACTGTAACATCAGCATCATCTGCAGGCCTGGCAGAAATGCAGACTCTCAGCTGCCATGGAATAGCAGTCACTGTTCCTTTGTGCCCTCAAAAGCACAGATGGGAAATGCTGGAAGGGAGGCGGTGAACACTGGAGGACCCTGAGGCAGGGAAGAGAAAAAGAGAAGAAAAGGCTGGGCTTTTAAGAAAACTGAGAAAACCAGAAACAAATGGGGGGAGGGGAGTACAAATGTGGGATGCCAACGAAGTCTGAGGAAAGGGTTTCTGCAGGGACTCTGCAGCCCCTCTCTGTCTCCTTCAGCAGAGGGGCTTAGGAGAGCAAAACTAGAGGAAGGCCCTGCACAGATTTGGCAATTCGGAGACTGAGGGTTGACTCTGAGTGTGTTGAGGGAAGGGCTGTGGCTAAATAGGGCCGGAGAAAAGGAGAGATGAGAGTCTGGAGGTGATGAGAAATGGGAAAGAGAGCAGTCAGTCCACGCTGGAGAGCAAGAAAGAAAGCGTCCACTCTGCACGCATTTGAACAACAAAGGGGCCACAGTGGGTTTTTTCCCCAGCCCAGGGTCCCCAATGATTTGGGGGGACACAAAGGAGAAGCATGGGCAGAGGTGTAGCTCTGGTCTCTCCCAAGGCATAATGATCTGCCCCTCCAAGAAAAGCCCCATGCCCCCCCACATCAGGCCCCTTAAATCAGGCTGCCTTAGCCACAGTGGGACCAGCCTCTGGGCCAGCTCCCTGAGCCTACAGAAGTGCCCCAGCTGAGTGGCAGGAAGCACTCGGAGGGCCTCGCTCTCTTCTCACCTTCCTGTGTGCAGTCAAGACAAGCCCAGAGCGAGATCCTGCCTGTGCTCCTGCCTAAGGGCCCCTCTGGGTGCTGAGGCCACCAGAGCCCTGGGGCAGGGAAAGCCCGGTCACTTCCTGCCCAAAAGTCTCAGTGTCACTTTCCCCTCACTTTCCACACTGCCCTCCACTCCCTCCATTGCTTGGGCTGCCCCAGCTCCCACATGCCCACCTAAGCCTTCCAGCTATTTCCTGGACCGCTGGCCCCTTCACCCCACACAGCCAGCCTCAAATCTTACCTGAAACCCGGCCCTCTCAGGCTTCCTCTGTGGTCCCTGAGGGTAGGAGTTGCTGCATGTGTCCCCAGCCCCAAAGGTGTCACTTGCCACAACAGCCTTCCTTGAAACCACATCCAGCCAACCAGATCCTGCTTGTTCTTGTGGTGGAATTTAATTTTGAGGTCCTAACAACATTGAGCCCTTACTATGTGCCAGGTGTATAATATATATATGGTTTGTGTCTTTAACCCAAATAAAATTTCCTGAATCCGTTCATTTGGAATTGCTGCTCCCCTGTCACATGTGTAGAAACTGGCCTGCCAACATCACACCCCATAGACAGTGGCACTAGGGTTTGATTGTAGCTGCTGAACGGGCTGTGCTTGAAAACTGACATGAAAATAACTAACCTGTAATGTCACAGGGACACATACAAACCAACCCTGCCCCACATCCTCCTGCTAACAGACACCCCCTACCCCCGCCATTTTGCACAACAGTTCTGAAAAGAGCCCAACAGACAAAAGAGAG